AAAATAATTTTTTTTTATAAAAACGTTGGTTTTTGAACAATTTGAAACTATGTAAAATAATATTTTCTAAAACATTAATAATTTTTGAAATAATGAGTGTTCAATGATAAAAGAATCACCTGGTATAATACTTGTAGGATTTAAAACTTTAATACAATTATAAACGTACATTTCGCCAGCCCCCCAAGTATGATTTTTGAATTTTTTTTTTGTTTTGCTAAACTTTAGTGTGCCATTATAGAGTGAATTTGTGTGACTAATTTCAGAATTTGTGCGATACTGGTTTAACCGTAAATTCAAAAATATATAAGGGGGCTGGGGAACAACGCTACACCCGCACGTGTTGTCTTCGTCTAAGTGCATAACATGGCAAATTTTACGTTCAGCAGATCACGTTTAACTCCATTAGTTTGAAATTTAGAGTGAATTGAAAAATGAAGGGTAACATCGTAATCGAGGGTTTCTCATGGGATTTTCATTTTTATTTTATGAGCATTTTAAAATTGTAAATTGTTTTTATATCTTAAAYTCCTCATAAAYCCTCGATTACAATATTACCTTTAAYTTTTATAAGAGGTCAATTCACTCTAAATTTTAAACTAACGGAGTTAAACGTGATCTGCTGAGCGTAAAATTTGCCGTGTTACGCACTTGTAAGACGAAGACAACACATGCGGGTGTAGCTAGCGTCCTCTTAACCTCAACACCGAATAGCAATTTACCTCCAGAGTGACGTGCACAGTTAATCGCCAAAAATCAGCTGTTCGGCATAGGAACTATAGGAACTGGGAAGAATGACAACTACACCGATTTCAGTGTATCCATATAATCCTATCATATATAATATTATAATGGTAGTTTCAAGTTTGGGTACTTGGTGAGTGAAATTAGGGGTTTTGTTTTTRATGATATACCTACCTGAAAGTTTTATACTTATTAGGTCGGTCATTATATTATGCTCTGCCCCTATACCCTCGTAAATATTTAATATTTAATATTACACTCCCGATGAAAGTTAATGTATATATATATATATATTATATATACACTATTATAGTATATATAATTTATAAAAGTTTGTGTTTCTAATTTGTATCCATACCTACCTATAGATAGAAATATACATACCTATTTCTTCTAAATTTCTAACATGTTTATTAATTTAGCTGTTTCCAACATGCTATTAGTTGTTATTTTTATCMCTACCTAGGTGGTAACAATACGAATAATGAATATTATTAATGTAATAAAAAAACAATTGGTACCTAACGTGTAATGAAACTAAAATATGAGTGGCCTGCAAGACTTGAGTCCAATTTTTATTAACATAATAGTATAGTATGAAATACCAGTTACAAAATGGTTGTTATAAAATAACTCGCTTAAAATAATTCAAATAATTAATGCCTGCRAGGCGAGATGAATCCGTCTCTATAGTCTATACGGTTGCCAACTGTTCGGATGCCTTTGCGGCGTTGCCGAGTGTGAGTACGAAGCGCCGACAACCAGATAACTGACAGAGTACACTATTCAATAGTACGTTTGTACTAAAGTACGGAGAGCCCACTGTCTAGCGTCTTGTACTCTATAAAAGTGTCTAGCCGGCGTCCGACAGTCATTTTATCCTTGAGTAGTAAAAAATTATCAAACCAGTGTTACCAATGTTAAAACTTAAGTGTCGTCGTTTCTGATCAAGGGAACGACTACTTTTGACAATAACACACTATCAACTTTGAGCAATACTTCTWCGAGTGTTTTCGTGTTGAAATTATTATCATTGATATATTATTCTTATATTATCTATGATTATTATGCCTTTATGCCTCCAACGTGGATTAATCCACGTCGAATGCCTCCTTAAACCATACACCTACCATAGCCAACAGTCATACCGTTAGTAAAAATTAGTAATTTATTTCTACTTTGTCAGTTTTGCAGTTTGATAAAAAATAAAACGATTTCTGCCTAAACTGGGTTATTTTATTTTGTCCAAGTGACTAAGTCCAAGTCCAACTATACCTAACTGTATTTTCTTATTACTGTATAATAATGGCTGCTTTAAGTGAAGACGTATCTTTATAAATCGATTTTCGATTCAACGAAGTAGAAACTCAAACGACAGGTGGTGTATATTTTGAAGCCTATCTGCGACGCCGCATGGTCATAAWGTGATATAATGATTGAAATGCATTAAAATAATATTATAAGATTCAGAAAACAATAATAGTGAAATCTAGGCTCATTGCAAATACAAACTTCAAGAAACTGAGAGATGAATTTTGARTTTTTACACCCAAACGTTAAAATATTTTATATGCGCATATTTAAAAATGATTTTTTTACAATAATTTGTCGTACTTATAATTGAATGGGAAAAACGAAATTAATACCTACATAAAAAGSTTTTCTTTCAACATTAAAATACTCAAAACTAAAAATCATATTTTATTTAAAAAAAAAAAATACAATATTATATTCTAAAAATATACTACGTAGATCGGAATGTTATTTCTTTTTTTTTTATTGGAGTAGGCACATTAATAAATAAAATAAACTATTGTTCGTGCTTATTTAGTGATAAAATGTATTTATGTGCACCTAATAAAATTCAAAGTACCTAACTAAAAATTTACGGTTTTCAACTACAAGTTTAATTTAATATTCATCAATGAATGGATAATCCTTAAAATGCATGTTCCTAAAAAATATATATATAAATAATTTTAAATGTTAGTGAATGCACATTTGAAAACATGTTTTAATTAGTAAGTAAATACCCTTTCATGTGCACAAAACGACCATTGCAATCGAATGCATCGATTTGATCAATATCCTCTTGTTCAAGTTCAAAGTCCCATACCTCAAAGTTGGATTCAATACGATTCTTAGTAACGGATTTAGGAATTACCATAATTCCCCGTTGAATTTGGTATTTTATCAATATCTGAGCCGAAGTCTTATTATATTTTTTTGCGATTTCCATGATTTTTGGATCTTCTAAGAGAGTCGGGTCTTCAGGTTTTTTCCATGGGTTATCTGGACTTCCTAGTGGACTGTATGCAGTTAATATTATATCATATTCCAACAAATCTTGATGTTTTTACTTTTATGCCTTAATATGAGATATTTTATTTTTTTCCTGTCTTGATCTTATTGGTATCTAGATACAAATGCAGTTAATATTATATCATATTCCAACAAATCTTGATGTTTTTACTTTTATGCCTTAATATGAGATATTTTATTTTTTTCCTGTCTTGATCTTATTGGTATCTAGATACAAATGCAGTTAATATTATATCATGTTCATCACAAAATTCTTTTAATTTTTTTTGAGTTAAATAAGGATGGCATTCGACCTATAAACAACAAAAGAGTATTAATGATACGAACTTAAAAAATTCAAGACGAAATATAAGTTTTGTGGGTATACTTGGTTGTTTACAGGTTTCACGGTAGCTACATCTAATATATCTTGAATTTGTCTTTTATTAAAATTTGATACACCTATCGATTTGGTGAGACCATTTTCTACYAATTTTTCCATTGCTTTCCATGTATCAATATACGAACCATTTCCTTCAATTGTGGCGCCATCATCGTCTTTTGGAATGAAATCATCATTTAATCCACCTTCCTAATTATTATTATGTAACAGTATTTTTACTATACGACGTATATATTGKTACACATATTATTGGTAAATGGTAGTATTTTTAAACATTATATTAATACATTACGTACTTTGAAAGCCATAGGCCAGTGAATCAAGTATAAATCCAAATATTCAACTTGCAAATCTGATAAAGTTTTTTTTATCACAGTTTCAACAATATCAGGCTGATGAAAAATATTCCATAACTGAATACAGGTATAAAATGTATTATATTATAATAATATTTTATTCAGAGTCGAAAATGTAATTATTACTTTACTAGTAATGAACAAATCTTCACGAGCTACTACACCTTCATCAATTTTGTGACTAATAGCATCTCCTATTTCTTTTTCATTACCATAAAACATTGCACAATCAAAATGTCTGTAACCTGTATCAATTGCAACTCTCACTGCTTCTTCAACTTCGCCAGGTTTTGACTTTGTTATAAAATTATAATAKATCATATATATATTCACATCTCAGATTGTATATTTTTAACTAAGCAGTAAGCATGAAATTATAAACTATAAAAACATTTATTAACATTACGTGACAGGTTTACTTACTGTCTTACCTGATCTAAATAAAAATAACCATATTATGTTATACGGCAAATTACGTTAGATCTGATTTACAGCCGACAACTCATACGTTATTCACCGGTCATAACYACTATTTGCCGACAAATGTTGGAATTATCGTAATTTTTTTTTAGGGAATCAAATTAAAAACCGTATGAAAGGAGAAATGTTGATAGTAACAAAATTAATTGGATACGTGATATTTATGAATTACGGTTATAGTTTTCTGCGGCTGAACGAGTCCGGTTTTTTCGTTATATTTAGGTACTAATTATCTAGCGAGTTATGAGACATTTTAAAATTTGTAAGCTTATTCCTATGCGATTCACTTTAAGATTATAATATTCTTACTTAAAATTTGCTATGTTATGTACTTGTAAGATGGGAATGTGGGGGTAACACATTCTATCAAAAAGTTTTATAAGGTCTGAATTATCGATTGAAAATCAGGTCTTTTTTTAAATGYAGAGCGATCATTACTGATGTAGTGATGTTTTCATTAGTTTCCGGGGTAGGAAGATAAACTAACAAAAATTTCAAAAAATTGTGAAATTATTATTATACATCTGTAACAGGTACCTACCTAATGACCTAATATTACCGACAAGTTCAACAAAGGACATAGGGCCTTAAGATTTTCCCCTGTTATGTTTATTTAACAAGTGCTAAAAAGTGGACATGAAATAATTAGGAATATCTTTTTATATCTAATCGAATTTGTATAGTCGCAATACCATAGTTGAATAAAATATAGGGGTGCCATTAATATTAATGATATGCACATCCATCTTAGAGGGCCAATAACTTATTTTTTTAAGGTAGGTATCGTTATAATCAATATTTATAATCGTAATAATGAGTATATTTATTCTAAAGTCGATTTTCATTCATCATAGATACTTTTCTAAATCAAAAATACTTTGTAGTTATAATTGTTTTACGCATACAATAATTGTATTATGGAATATGTACAATGGGTAGTGATGGATTAATTAAATAACTAATAAGAGAATTAAGTCTAAGTGTCTAACTATAATCTATATGATACATAATACGTATATCTATGTCGTTAATATTATAACTAATACAATAAATAATTCATATACCTAAGACAATAGTGCATAGCGTCTTATGTTGATTACMGTTTACGCTACTGTATACATCGATTATATTATAAATTAGTAAAAATAATAACTTTTTAAATCACGAGGTTTTTGATGTTTAGGATATTTGGACCCAAAGTCTTAAGTTATACTTTTAAAATAATTTTTCTAATATTTTATGAAGAATCTCAATGAACTTAAGTTGTTACTATGTTTCACATGCGAAAAATAATGTTAATAAATATTGATGGGGTGACGTTATTTTAACGTTTAAAAATGAGTAAAAGTCATATTACATTACTTAATCAAAATAATTACAATAAATCAATAAAAAATTCTTAATTTTTTCAATTTTTATTAAAGCTCTGATGACAAGGTTTAAAAAATTATTTTTAAAATTGCAATAGTATCTACAATATTCACGTTAAAATTTATATATATAATATATATGTATAACATTTAAATTGTTCGTGTATTTTTGCTTAATTTGAATGTTTAATTTTATATAATTATGATTTTAATCGAAAAAAATCAACAAAAAAAATCGGTTACTTATATACATTTTTTTGAGAAAATATTTTTAAATAATCTAATATAATAATTACCTTCCATGTTCCAAAACCTAAAATTGGATATACTTGTCCATTATTAAATGTTACAAATTGATTATTTGATGCCATATTGCAGTGTATAATAGTACCAATTTAGTTTTAGATTTTGAAAGCAACTACCTTTAATGTTTTCAATGAGTTTACAAAGTGTAATGTTGAAATAATTCAACGTAACAGTGGAATGTAAAACGCCTTGGTTTAGAATAATGATAGACTGAACAATGAACAGTGAATACAGGCATTTTTATTGTTGCCATTATTCATTTTACAATAAGGGTGGAGAAATAAATTTCAAGTCTTATTAGTATTATGTTGTATAACTGATATAATATATTACTATGTTCTTGACAAGTTAAATATTAGAATTTGATACTTATAGTAGAGAATATTGTTTTGTATTTGCAGGTCTTTGAAATAAATTAAATAGCAACAATAACTGACACATAATTTATTTCAGATGGTAATTATAAAAGATGGTTGTTAATKATAATTTAATACTATCGTCTATCACAATTAAAAAACGTTGCATCCTACAAAAAGTAAGTCAGCATTCCGTTTAACAGTTAACATAGCTTTTAACTAATTTTATACCTACTTAAAATATTTATATAGTTATAACATARATTATGTAGTTTTTTAGCAGAACACGTATTCAAGGGCCGATAACCTATTATCTAATATCACAGTTTAATTATTGTTATTGTTTGTAGAAAAGTTATTAATTGAATGATATTAAGATCTTATTGTTACACAGTCTGTATTTCAATGTAATGTTATCTAGTATCTTCTCCTATATATTGATATATGCATCGTTTATTATATCAACATTTTATTTTATGTGGCGTAAAATGAAACTATAATTTGTTTATAAGGGCATGTAATTCATTAGATTATTTTGCGTGGTTAATTTTAAGTATTTTGATAATTTTCTTATTTATATAAAATATAACATGTTCTTACACAAAGAATTTTCAATTATATTAAAAGAAAACACAGTGTTCTATTTTGCTCTTCTGATTTAAATATTTAGTTCAGTATTTTGATGTGTTATGTAGGACGTAGGTACTCTGTATGACTGTATAGGCAGGKTTATTTCTTCATACTATGCAATTCTTTTCTTTTCTTCAGTATTACAATACTGAAACTAATTTAAATACTCATTTATCCACTTTTTACAAAAATAACACAAGAAAGGATTACATAATATTTTATTCCGTGATTTTACTCAAATTTGTATATTATTATTATATAATATTACACAATATTATACATGATTTATGGATGAATTGATTTTTTTTCAAACAGTTAGATAAATGTTTATTTAAAAAATGTAAATACATTTCGAAATTCAATTTTATAAATAAGTAATAAAATAACGAATATAATTCAGTAATATACAAACATAATTATTTTATTAAATTATACATCATACAAATGTAGGCAATTTTCTTATACTTTATAATTATTATAATATATATGTTTTTAAATGAAATCGGATAAAATTTATAATATTTTACAACTCATAATATAAAATAGATTTTAGACTACTTAAATGTCTAATAGTCTTGGTTACGATTCAATAAATAAATTAATAGTTAATATTAAATATTTTTTTGAAAATATAAGAACTTAAATCATGAGAGATTCTATTCTTATATTTTATTTACAAAACGATTTACATTTAAAATAATTTTTTTATTTCCTACGACGAGAATGTCGACAATGAAAAAAAAAATTAGGCAAAAATGTTATGAATATCTTATAATATAATCTCTATTAAAAATATTTGTATAAATATAGGTACATAAGTTTGGCATTTACCCTATCGTTCATTACTTTACATATTTTATCGTTGATGCTTTTTTATAATATGATCAATTAATATTATCATTAATCCAATCCAAGTACCGAGTAACCCTCGTATACACGCCAGGATATCCAGGTTCACCACATTTGTTACCAAATGATACTATACCGATTTGTATCCATCTACCATCTTTTTTTAGCATTAACGGACCTCCAGAATCTCCCTAAAATGAAAGATTTTTTTATAATACACTTTCTTGAAATACTTTTCAATTAAGATTTACCTGACAAGCATCTTTTCCCCCTTCTTTCAATCCTGCACAAATAAAGTCTTCATTAATTGGTTGGAAGTAAGTTCTGTCACAGTCGTTATTATTCCATACGGGAAGATCAACTTGTCTTTGTACAGTACTCTCTTTACCACCTGTATTAAAATTAATTAAAATTAAAGTTTATCATGTTAACTATAGTTATTTAAATCAAATTTACCATAGTACGTAGTACCCCATCCTACAACTGTTGGACTCTGTCCAACAAAAGTATCTGACTTAGAACTTTTAGGAGGCAAACACAAAGGTATTGTGTACTTGCTCCTTTTGACAGGTCTATCTAATACGAGGATTGCAATATCATTATAAAAACCTACTCTGGAAAATTTATTATGTCCACGAACTTCGACAACATAGTATGTTTCGGGAGATGAAGGCTCATCATCTCTGCGTAGGTCTACGTCACCCAGTCGAACTGTAAATTGTCTGGCATTAAAACTGAAAAATAAATTATTTTAATATAGGTATCAATGCATTTTTTAAATTGTATTAATATAAAGTTTTCCCAACGACATGGTCGTCTAAACTTAATCCTATCAACGAATATAACATACGGCATTTGTCTATTGTCTCGTGTGCAATGCGCAGCTGTGAGAATATGTCTAGGTCCAATTAATGAGCCTCCACACCAAAATTCAGTTCTCCTTGGACCATGTAAGAATATAGCAGCCATCCATGGCCATCGACCTGGCAAAGCTTCGTCTCCTCCGACTACTCGGAACTTTGGTACTTCAGGTCTTCCACAATCTAATTTTAAATTTAACATGTATATAAGTAATTCGTTCAAAAATTATATGAAATTATTATGATTCAATTATATAGTTTTTTTTATTAAAGTATGATTGTATTTTTAGGTAATGTTAACTTATTATTATATTATATACATTTATGAATTACCAATAAATTATAATTTAGTTACCTATTAATTTTTGTAATTTTGTTAAATTTATGTAATATATGTGAGCATAATTCAGGTAATATTACAAAATTAGTTTCCTTAAATCTCTTAGAAATGTCAACACAACAAATATAAATGTAATATTTTTTTAATTTCTCTTAATATTATTCATAAGTCATGAACTCATAACCCAGATTATCGGTTCATTATTTTAACTAGGTATTTTGTACATAATATAATTATAATTTATATGCCGTTTCTTAAATTCACGTATTACCAACATATTATTAGGCACTAGGTATGTCATTAGAAATCAGAAATGCTGAAGTTTGTTACGATTGTTTCTTGTAAGTTATAAGAACATTTTACCACTGTAAATAATTGGAGTACATTTTGAAGACAAGCTTACTGTCAAGTTGATTGTCGTAGATAAAATCCTGCTGTAAATACTAAATGCTGGTATCAACTAAGCGTGAAATAAACAAATTTACTGAAGCGTTAAAAATAACAACTGCTACTTTGATATGAGGTTTAATGGGAAATCGTCCTAAGTCTATACTAAATCTGTGTATATTTCTGTTACACATTTATAAGTAGGTGATTTAGGTGCATAATTATTGAATTTTATTTTGGATTATTTTAAAATCAATTACTATATTATAATATCATTAATACCATGTATATATAGTTTTATTGTATTATTAATGAATACCTGGATGTATAAACTTTCAGAATCCACATATTTTAAAACAAAACCTATTAATTGCTTTTTTTGTTTTACGCATTAGCTGTGTAATACATGGTGGTTTTAAATAGATCAGTTTATAATATGAAATTTAATATACYTACGTATGTATAAATGCATTATGAATTATTATAATCTTTAATTTAATCATCAAACGATCAAACATTGATAAAATAAATCTCACCATCACAAGGTATGCGTATAGATCGTTTTTTTATTATTAAATTTTATCATTTAAATGTGTACAGTGTTTTGATTTACTTAGTAAATTGTACTATTGATATTATAATATTATTTATCAATTGTATATACCTTCATCAATAGTATTAGAAGACACCAAACTTGTAGTTGGTTTTGTTGCTACTTGTATTGGTGCTTTAGTAGACAACGTGATTATATTGGCGGGTGGWGGTCGAGTGGCAGAGGGTGGCCGAGTATTTATCGGTGGTCTAGTGACTGCAGTTTGAGTCACAAAGTGTTCAGGTTTTGAAGGTTTTTCTGGAACTAATCTGTAAGATAATACAAAACATGGTTAAGCAAATTATGATATTTTTTTGCTATGGCTGTGTTATTAAAATGTATTAAAGCATTTAAATTGTTATTTGTTTGTGCTTGATGAATAAAGATTCATTCAATTTAATATATTTTAAAATTAATATCCAATAATAACTATATAAAAAATATGAACTCTGATGTTGTACTGAAGTATCTTTTATTTCTGTTTAAAATTTATTTTWTTCTACAGGTTAGTATTAGACACATGGTAAAATTCTTAGTAATATTTTTAACGTAAAAAGTATTACATTTAATGTGTTATAGGGTGGAAAAGATAAATAGCGAATTTTGCTTAAAAACATAAAAATAGAAAGCTTAAAAAACTGATCATGCTTAAAAAACTGAAATAAAAATTGAACAATATTATTTTAAACTATTTAAAAGTATTTTTATTCGGGTATCATTATTGTTATAATATATCATTGTTATGGTAGCTGTAAAATTAATTGTTGACTTGACCACAGATTCGTGCTTTCATAAAATTTGATTGTTATAATAATATGTAATAGAGTGACCGCATAAAATGTTGAAACTTAAAACGCTATTATGCCACAAACAATTTCTCTAAATTGAATGCCTTTTTGCTTGAATTAAAATATTAAAAATTATGCTGGGGTACTTGCAGTATTAATTTTTGACCACGTACTAATTTCCGTCATTTGCCTATTAAATATTGAAAAATGAAAAATKTTCGCACAATGGCATTATATAATATTCCATTTAAGAGTGAAAACGAAAATAATGTCAAACTCGATAATAATAAATGCGGAAGTGTTTGCACAACATTTGTATAGGGTTTCAACACATACGTTACATATGAGAATTTCCTAATTTATTCTTAATACATTTTCACTGAAATTAAACCCCTTTTATAATATATGTGAATAAATAGCATATTTTTGTGACGTGAAAATGAAAAGTGAAAATCAATGTTTGATTAGATAGTCAAACACGCATAGACAGGCGTGTTAATAAACAAATGAAATTTATAGTAAGCGCGTTAAATAGAGCGCAATGGCGGTTACAAATCGAATAGCTGCGTATTGTTTTTTTGTCCTTTCTTTATCCTTTCGGTAATGTTCGGCATGTCGTGCATATAGACGCGACTGTTCACTTGTGTATCGTAATCGCAAGAAAGCGCGCGCGCGTGAGGATACGGTGAATGTGGTGGGCAAGGTCATCGGCAATTAAGTTTTACGCATGAATAAGACAAACGGACGAGATAATGGTCTAAAGAAGAATAATATAGTGTATATGCATGTATATATTATTAAAAATCGTTTTTCCCTTCCAATTGGATTACTTTCTACTCGTATGCTGTGTTAAAACAGAAAATGTCCATTGACGATTTCCAAAAAAAAAAAATTACGTATGTATAGATATGTGTAAATATTATAAATAATACATATTTGACATAAAATAAATTATAATTAGCTTAGAAAATCACTTAAGAAGATAAAGTAAATGCTGATCATATAATKTATACCTTAAGGTTAATGTACATAAAAAGTTTAGGGAAATATATTTCACTACTATTAATAAAGTAYTGTAGAAATGTAAATTCTGTTACAATAAATATCATAACAGAGAGTGACCCATGCAAGACGCATCAAAGTTAGTAGAAATATACTAAGTGCAAATATCTAATACCTATAATATTGTTTTACATTTTTGAGCAGATTGAACATTAATTTGTTTGTAAGTATTAGTCTTTTTGTATCCACTTCAAMTATCRAATGCGTTTCATATGACTTTTAAAACTCCTCTACTACTGCAGTTAAGTATCTYAAAAATTTAAATTTTAAGTTTTCGTTTTTTATTCCTTCCGGTTAAATTATCCTAGTAAATRTAGTATATACTCACGGTTCGGATGTCTTTTTTGGRCAACACACGCCTGGCACAAACAGATTCTTGAAGCATATAGATTGTCTAAGATGTCCTAAGTTGAGCAACAGCTGCGGGCAGTTGCTAAGATCTTCGCAGTTTCCCTGAGAGCCATCCGGTGTAGTGCACGGTCGATTGTCCTGCGATACCACCTTGCCTGAACCCAGACTTACAAGTGGCTTTACCACCATGTCAGTCATATTTCGACCAAGCACGTTCTTGCTGATAGTGAATATCGCGGTTGGCAGGTCACCTTGTTTCTGCAAACCTTCTCCTACATCAGTATTCGTCAAACAATTTCAGCTGACTTATCCGATTTTATACGGAAGTCAATTTATTTATGTTTGTTTATTAGTTATCAATTTAGGTAGGTATTTATGTTATATTGAATTTGACAAAGTATTGAATTGATCCCTTAACTTATGTATGACGAATGAAAGTTTTACTAAAAGACTTAGTTGAATGTTYATCATTGGAATTTGAATAATTATAGGTAATTTAAAATCTATTTTTCAATTTTTCAATTCTTATAAAAATATATATTTTTTCTTATCTTAAAGTATAATAATTTACATTGAGTAAAATAAGAATATTTTTGGTGATTGTATATAACTACGCAATAATTGTAATGCAATTTTATATTGATAGAAATCACGTCCGTATAATATATTAAATGAATACATAAATAAATAAGGAAGTGAAAAAATGTTTGTACCTATGTCTTTCTATTTGTGTAAATGAAAAAAAAAACTACGGTAGTAAAAAAATATCTATTGGAATTCATACTTAAAAACTATGTTAGAGGTTGAATAAATTACTATCATAAGTTAATTATTCAAATTTATTGTTTATTATTGATATATTATGTAAGGTTATTGTTCTATTCTCTATAAAGATGTACTTACTTACTGGATAACTCTGTGATGGACTGTCAAGTCTGTCATCTGTGGTTCCCCTTGTATAATTAACTAGGTATCTCCCTACAGTGTTAATAGCGCCAAGTGTTTCTGAAATTTTGGCTATGGCTTGTGGAGATAAATACCGAGCTTCTTCCGAACCGACAGGTGGRTATTCAGTCTGTTCCTCAGGTAGAGGTCCTTGAAATTCGGCTGGCAATTTGGCACGTCTACCAGATTTAGCGCTTCTACCTTCTTCCGGATATGCACCATCRCTATATCCTGCATGGTCCTGATTGTCACTAGTAGGAAAGTGAAAAGTTTCTCGAACAGTTTGTCTAGGTGGCCGATTTATATGATACTGATGTCGATCAGTAAAATCGTAAGCTGTCATAAAATGTATAAATCATTAMTAAATTACAAGCAATTCTCAATATTTTAGTGGCAACTAAAAATSTATAGTGGCTTATGGTTTGTTTGAATTAAAAATTAGTAGAAGAATACACTATTGTTATAGGAAGAGTTCTGGCCCTAAAGAATGAGTGTTTCATTTAAATGTAATTAGTTAATGATTAAATACTTTTAAAAATAACTAAAAATAAATATGTTTAAAAACTATATTTACCTAGTTCTAATTTAAAATAAATGAGRGGAAATAATGTGATGAGGTATTTAAAAAATTGTTTTCATAAAAAAAAAAATTCGAATTATAATTATATCTATAATCATCTATCTTGATAAATAAAATAATTTGTTTAGACATATATRCAGTGTTGACAAATATGACGTAGTATTGTTAGAGTAGATCTCCAAGACAAACATAATTAACTATAATAATGAAATGAAATCAACTTCTTGGTTCCCGCCGAGAATCTGATATAGCTAAATAAATATATTATTTGAAATCGGTAAATGGGAATCATACCAACTACTAGTCCGTATAGTCGTGAGCCAGTAAGGGTGGAGATGAGTTGGAGGAATAATATAATTAGTAACTATACAAGATAATTATTAATTACCACGGTTGTTTTATTAAAAATATTATTATTCGAATGGGAAATAGTTGTTATTATGATAACAATTCATATTATAAATGAATCACCATTTATCACTTTCTCCTCGCGTTGGTACCCAGAACCCATTACTATATAATATTACAGTCCACCTCCACAATACTACAATAAACATATTAGACATAATACAGGGACATGATGCATATATTTGTAACCTATTACCTATAGGTACGAAAATAAGTTTCATAATATATATATATATATATATATATATATATATATTTAGGTACTTATAAAGTTATAATAATCAATAAATAATACGACAGTTGGTTAAGCTAAAAGATAAATACATTTGCAAGGTTAAAGTCGGTCCACTTGCTCATGTAGAATTTAAAGAAATTTTAAGAAGTTAAAAGYTTAATGGGAAATAACATTTTATAATGTTGATTGTGTTTAATTATTTATGTAAAAATAGTGCTATATTCTCATATYTTTACACATAAGTCTTATATCTGTTTTGACTCCCATTAAGGTAGTYAATCGTTAGATTCATTTCTAAACCCTTTACACACTAAAATCTACAAACTACCGGAGTAACAAATGGCGATCCTTCAGRACAATTATTGTAGTGGGAATTAGTTAGCTCGTAGAATCGTGACCTAACCTATAACAATACTAAAAAGCGAACCTCTATTTAACTAATAAAATTGGATATTCTAATTATTTGAAAAAAAGTCRATTGCAGTTTTTAATAAATGTCTAAAATTAAAAATACTAAAAAATAATAATAACAAAATCCAAAAAATGATATAATTTAATAATTATGCATATTATTACTCTATGTAAATTATTATGTGATTTATAAATGTTTAATCAATATTATAGTTATTTATTGTTCATATGAAAGGGCTTTGCTGATGGAATAGTTTTAATTAATCATATAAGTTTTTTCTTATTGTAGAATATTATAAATTGTTTTAGTAGGTGATTCAATGCYTCATTAAACATTTATTAACGWTACGTATTTACATCAATACATCATAATAACAATTAACGATTAAATGTAAATATATGTTGTTTATATAATGGTAAGATATAATATACCTAATGTTTATATTTTAGTGAGAGCTACTTTTTTTTTTTTTATTCAGATTTGGTGTACTGATAATTATATGTATGTACGTAGGCGCTGCGCCGATGGTTATAAATTTGCGATCAGTTTAAGTGAGGTACAACAAAAATGAAAATAGATAATAATAATTATGAATAAAAATAAATTCAAATAACTAAGTATTATATATTTGACACGTATAGAAAGTTATCTGTTTTTGTGCCCCCCACACACTTACATAGAGGTATCATTAGACAATTTCGGACGCCCTATAGTGTCGCAACCGCAAAACCGACGAAGAATGGGAAAAATTAGATGGAAATCTATAGTGTGAGAGAGAATTCAAACGTCGATAAGATAACGTCGGCCTACTTTGATATTAGAAGTAAATTAGCAAAACTATAGGATAAATAACTAACCAACTAATCACCGATCAGTTCTCTGGACGGTCCCATAAAACATTGCAGTTGTTTGTATTATCCAAATATAGCAAGACACCCTCTAGTCTATTTATCAGTAATTTAACTTTCATGTGATAATTATTGCGATAGCCGATCAGAAAGATGTGTTTGTTTAATCAGTGGGTGAAATAAGAAAACGGTTTTACACAAAAGTTCTCTGTGCGTTTTATCACAGTTTAAATCTATATTATTTATTACATACAAGAAACTGAGACATGTAAAGGACTTTTAAATACATATACTATAGGTACCTATCTCCTTATCAGTTTCAATTCTGATTTCACTTTAATGGGCACTTTTATATTGTAATAGATAGGGTATACAATTTTAATTGAAGTATAATATGTCAATGATAAAAAAATATTACTTTCGTATTATTAACACTCATCTGTACAGTTAAGTTTATGCATTAACAGCGAAGAAGTTAACATTTATAATATATATATATATTAYCATACTTTTATGCATTGATTTAATTATYTATAAGATATGATAATTTTACTATTGTAGAACTACCTTATCATTATAATATAAAATTATAAAATTATTAGTTTTCGTATGATAAACCTGTTCATAAGGTATCACAT